AAAAAAAAAAAAAAAAAAACCCAAAAACTATGTCGGCCAAACCAAAAAATGCCATTGAACGCTTTAAATATTCAAGCCATTCTATTGCGAAATTGCGAGAATAAAAATAAATTACAATATAAATAGTGTAAGTCTATTTTTATATAATGAAATTCAGTTGAGGGCATATATGCTATGCTTCTTAATTAAATATAATCGTTATATTATATATTGTATAAATCAATCAGCGCAATTTTAATATACTCGATAAAACAAGTTTGTACTTTCGAAAATCCGACTTGTGATTTCTATAGTGGTGTCATACTGAGATCAAGCACTGTAAGTACGACTGATTAATTGCCTTTGATAGATAATTAGCTACTACAAATCGAAATGAGTAACTGCTAATTAACCCAACGTATAATTATTCCTTTCTAATAATACACAAGATAAACAAAATAAACATTGTATATAATTACTATATGTTTGAAAAATAATATAGAACAATAAACTGTATTGATTTCAAAATCAATTGTAATTTTACTTTTGCAATTTTATCTATGATTAAACACTCTTCCAAAGTATACATATATCCTTTTTTACACTTGAGGCTTCACAGTATGCTTGCATACAAAGTATGTTCAAGGAGCATCCGCTTCCGAACGGGAGAATACATCAACAGCTTTGAGCATCGTGGTTCATAAATAAGTTATACTGTTAAAACGGTGAGCTGCTTAYACATATATGTATATATATATAACAACATTTCAGTATATACTTTAAGTCATTTTAACCTGTTTTCTCTGGAAACACATGTTCAGAGTGCAAAGAGCAGTGCATTTAATTTACTGGTATTTCTCATTAGGCCATATCGATAATATGTAAGTCGTAGAACAAACCCGCAATAAAAAACAAATACAAAAATCGATTAGGGTTGGCAAATCTAATAAAGCACATTCTAGAGAAATCACAATAATGGAAATTCGTAAATTTTCTAAGACCAAAATGAAGTCAAGATCAAACTAAAACTGAAATTCTCAATTTATACATAAATGCAAGAATATTCTCCCTTAATCTCCTTGATTCTACCCTGATAAACGTAAGTATTTGGAAAAGATAAAATATGCATAAAATTTAAATGGACTTGTGAAGAATTCCTGTATATATTTTCCCTTTAAATATTCAACTTAAAGCAATACATTAATTTATATGGAAAATTGTACAGGTATTAATTAAAAGTAAATTCAGTTAATGGACTGAAATATTTTCCTCAATCAGATTCGCAGAGTTTTTTATGTGAATATTTAAGAGTGTAAAACACGATTGAGAATTTAATGAAAAAAAAAATAAAAATAAACATAAATCCTATTTACATTTTCACAAATATTGATTGATAGGGGCATTAGCTGTGCTATATCCACCTATAAACCATTTATGGTTTCAGTATCGTAATGCTATGCTTCTGGCATTTCCTTAATGGATATTTAAGCTTATCAATCATTTTACTTCATGCGTAACATATAATTCCAATTATATTTGCAAATAAATAAAAATCACTACTAATTATACAGCGCGATGCCAATGGATATGAATATAGGCTTCGGGTTTTATGCATAATGAAGGTCAACAGATGTCTTTAAATATTTATGGCGTGTGTTTCAGAATGATGACACATATTCCAGTTCTATTTAAAAGAGAAGTCAATCGTGGTCAGTCTACAATGGATGCAAGAAACTGTCCCTATGGGCATATGATCTATTATAATCAGGGTAGACATAAATTGATTTCAGCATTTCAATCTCCTCAGATTCCTTAAAGCTAATATACTCTGATAACATTGCAAGCCAGTATGGGAACTATTATGTATAATCATAAGTTTAGATACTTCATGCTTTATTCTAGAAATATTTCAATTAAATGCTTCCGTTTCTAATGGGATTTTACATGCATACACATACACAGCTGTTTGCTCGCGTCGGGTCGAGTAATCGGACAATCAAGTTGTAAAACCAGCCAAACAGAAACACAATACACGGGCAATAATTACCTGGGCAGCTAGACAGCTACATCGGTAACTAGGAAGCCCCGTGGCTGGCTACTTATAGTCTTGAATAAAATTTAATTAAAATGCTCATGTCGATGACGCTGTAGAATTTTAATTGCGCACAAATTAAAAGTCAAAATGTCAACACCCAAAAACTAAACAGAAACTAGGAAAAAAAAACCATATATACAATGACAATTAATAATAAAAATGAAAATTACAAACTCAAAAGTACGCAATGATTTAATTACTTGATTATCGACGACTAGCTGGCAAGTTCAATGAAAATCTACTATAGGTAAATGGCGAGCGTATAACAATGGCCGCGTTGCCAGACTCATGTAATAAATGTAAAGAAACACGATTCGCTGCACAACAGACAATGCAATCGAGAGTGCGGGCCAGAGCAACGGGGGGCGGGGCGATATAAGAGTGGACATTAAATAATTTGAGTGTCGAAGCCGCGCACAATTAACCCATATTTGCAATGGAAACCAGCCAACAAGCCAGCCAGCCAACCTACCAGACACTCAACCAGTCAACCAGTCAACCAGTCAGTCAGTCAGTCAGTCAGTCAGTCAGTCAGTCAGTCAGTGAGGCAGTCAGCCAACTAGCATGTTGCATTTCACACCAATTGGGGGAATTTTCACCCGCTTGGCTCGGCGCTCACTCAATCGTATGAATGACGAAAGCACTGAGAGGTGAGGGGCGAGTGCATAGGCAGGTAGACTGCATGGGCAGCTTGCCAACCTGACTAGCTGGCTGACTACTGACAGACTCACAGACTCACTGACTGACTGACTGACTGAATGGCTGGCAATGTCGGGCAGAAAGCCACAGCAACTGATTGCACCACACCGGCGACCACAGCGCCACCAACGCCAACATCAAAATTGGAGAACGCACTGCACTGCACGAATTGTTGGCGACTTCAGCTATGATCCGGGCTTGATGGTGTCAGGGGCAGTTTGTAACTAAGGGTTGGGGGTTGTTTTTGTATGCGAATTTATACATTGTTTAACTATAGGCCACAGCTGCAGGCACTGTGCTCGCCTTTCTATTGTTGTTGTTATTAACTTTTTGTTGTTGCTGTTGTTGTTGTTGCGTCTGCTGTTGCCGCTGCTGTTGCCATCACTGTCGCTGTTGCCTGTTGCCTGTTGTCGGCGATGCACATCGAAGCGCAGCTAATTGAAACATTTTGCACACTGTGTCAAAACTATGCAAATAAATTTGCAATCATAAATATTTATTTAACAAACATAGCAATTTGTACGATATTGCTGTGTTATTCTAAATTATATATTGTTCAAGAAATT